TGAAATGCACTAACACATTTATTTTTTCCGTGCTCTCTGAAAAGCTCGACCTGAACTTAATTAGACTCAAAATAATGCAAATAAGGTACAGATCCAACAAATAATAAAAAGGACACAGACTAAAGTGATCATAGAAAAATGAGGAAGTGAAAGAACAATGAAACTGTGCTGAGAGAGATAAGGAAGGACGCCACGTCTTGCTGCCCTCTATACACGTCTAATCTTTCAGCGGTAGCTACAGCAGATGCGCTGTTCTTCTGTCGCGCACATTGTTCTCGCTCGGACGTAGCTTCAAAAGAAGATTAACTGGAGCAGACCTTTGGGTGGCGGGGGCAGGCAAACCTGCCCAGAAGGGGGAAGTTCATCTTCAAAGGCGAGAGCCTTTTCAATGACGCTGCCTTTTGTGTAAAGACTAAAAAAAATATCAGGAGACCAAAGTTGAGTTTAATATGGTGAAAGACATAAGCAGGCGACAAAGCGGTCACCTTTGTTTGCCGCACTGGGCCAAGCTGGTGCTCTTCTGCGGTATCACCATTGTCATCACGTTATTACTAAGGTTGTGTTTGCTAGCGTTCAGCACAAGTGTTTGTTCTCTCTGTTCCTCTTTCTGTTTTTTGTCAAGCCCCGCTGCCTAAACTAATTTGTCACTCCAGCCTTTTGGTCTCTTTTAGCGTTAATTTCTATGCAGGAGTTCTTACCCCACCACAATGAATACACTACTGATTTCATCTATTTCTAGTCGGGCGCCTTTCGCAGCTGCCGGTTTACTAAAATTGGTATTATTCTGGCCCTGGTGGTACAATGGTTGTGGCACTCGCATGCTGAAATGCAGGTACGGGGTTTGATCGCGGCCACTCGAATTTCAAGGGAGGCGAAGTGCTAGAGCCTACGTACTGTGCGACGTCAGTGCACTTTAAGAAATCCAGATAGTCGAAACTTCCGGAGCCCTCTGCTGAAGCGCACCTCGCAATCATGCCGAACATGACGTTATGCAGATTGGTCAGGCTTGCAGGTCGACAAGGAAGATATTGTACCCCTTCAAGCTCTGATGTTGCTGCCAAACTTGAAATCATCACACAGGATATTACGAACTCCGCACTGAATACAGTAGATACCGAGAAATATTGGCAATATTACCAGAACTCGCCTCTACCGTTTTATATACCAAGTGAACTGCGCCGAACAGACGTCTATCTGCTGCGCAGGCTACGACGTCGGATGAATTTCACGAAGTTATTTTTGTTCAGCGTGACCGAAAACACTCTTAGTGACCTCCATCATATCGTGGACATTTTGCAGCATATCTTCTTTGACGTCTACGCTGTGCAGAGAAGTTCACTAACCTTGACCTGAGATCGATGAGACTAGCAACTATCTTCGAATGTCATTCCGACAAGCCATCGAAAGTTGTCGGGCGAAAGCACTGGTAAAGAAATTTAGCAAGTAATTCTGGATGAGCTAATTCAACATAATTTAAGTTAACAGCCTTATTAACAGATGCTGGAAGGTGTTCTTTATGAATTGCTGGTTCACCATTCAACTGGGCTTTGTTGAATTCACACCAAGTTTCGGCGCCCTTTGAGTAAAAGTTGTGTGCTTGAAGGACAACCGACTTGTATGAGTGGCTGTACATGGATAATGCTGCCGCATACGACACAAGACAGACAGATTGTGGCGTTGTATGTGGTTTAAAACGCATTTTAAGCCTCCTTGTTGTGTCCTGTCCCACTGTTTTTCTGATTGTTATTCCTTGTTCAAGTCTCCTCTATCAATTTACCACGTGCAGGGTAGCATACCAATTAGGCTAAGGCCCAATACTTTCAGGTTAACAAAGAAAATTGTATTTAATGAATTCTTTTGAAAGAGTTGGCGCTTTTTCCTTGAATATGTTCTAACATTCGACGTTAACACACAAAAAATATTGAGCAGAAGGTATCTTAAAATTATATGGATATACGCAACGTCGTTTGCAAACATGCGCGTTATCAAAGAGACTACGTACTCGATGCTGTTTATTAGACTTGGTGAACTTATTTAGGCATTCTTTGTCGCATTGTTAACGTATTCGGTAGAATAGTGAGCTGGCAGCCAGAACATCTGTAGAGATTATACAGGTAGAAAACACTTGCGTTGCTCCTTGAGCATATTCGTGCAACTATCTTTAATGTCGTTCATAGCATCTGAAGTGTTATGATACGTACTTATCAGGCCGAGTTAAGGCCACCGGTTGAAAGATGTAGAGAATGAAGTGTGTCACTGTTTGGTGTATACGGGAAGTCAAGTGGTTATGCTAATTATGTAGGAAAGAAACCTGTACTGTCTGATCTTGTGTTGAGATAGGCCAGCAAAAAGCATTTGGTGCATAGTCTGCGTTAGGTTGTTTCGTATTAAGGGTGGCATGGTCAACGGATAACTTCCGGTTCTTTAGGCGGATTGTACCGTTCTGAAACAATGCCTGTTTGTATTTTGCAGAAAATAACCATTTTCTCTGTCTGATTTGTAAATTCACGTGGCCATGCACCGCGTGTCCCATTGTAGACGGTTTCAAGCATAGAGTTTTCTGTAAGGTACACTAGAGGGAACTCTCGCGCTAGTGTCTATGGGAGCTGCAACGCACGGCGCTTCAGCGAGCACGGGAACGATGGGTAGTACACACATTTGTCTCATTTTCGTACTTCTGGCCTGCTTTTTTGCTCCGTATGTGTTCGTGTGGCTTGGAGCTGTCTTCACACAAAACAAAAAATAGCAAATGTTCAGCGGTTGCGCTTCGCCATCTTATTCCTTTAGACTTACCTTTCGAATCGGGTCACGAAGTTTAAAAGGGTTGAATTTATCCTTCAAAATGAAACCGAAACGCAGCAATAAACGAAGCCACAAGCAGGATTCGCCACCCGCAAGTACGAAGACTAGGTAAATGTGTGTACTACCACTCACATCCATGGTCGCTGAACGAACGCAGGCGACAGAGTCCCCTCTGGGTAATATTTAGGAAACATTATGGTTTCAAGACTGCAACTTTGTACCCCAAAAAAACTTCCTGTCACCGCATTTAGCAGCTCCTAACATGTAACTAAAAGCACGTTTTCAAGTTTCTTTCAAGGATAAGAAAAGTGACTCCTTAGTTTTCAGATAAAAAGAAGGTGCGTAAAGTTCGAGGGAATCTCGTATAATTTTTATGTTGCTCAAAAGAACATTTGTTTGAATATATTTTGTCAATTAAAAGAAAGAAAGTGCAGAAAATTGGCAGGCTATTTCTTAATGCTCTCCTCGCCCATCGTTCATACCACGGTAGACTCGTGGACGAAACCCGATGCCATCAAGGACCTGTGTTTGTAAACAGCGAAAGGGTGCTCTAAACCGTTCGCAATTTATTTCAAACACAAGTCCTCGCACTAATGTAATATTCCTTCCCGTCCAGCTCAACATACCAGGACAGGTAAAGCCTCTCTCGTAGTAGATGGTGCAAAGTACATGGTACTCTTATTCGTCGAACGTTTGTTTTAAAATAAGAGTCGGCAGTTAAGGTCTTAAGAGATAATTCAATACATATGATGCTGGGGCACAATTCTGCCAAAAAATAACGTTAAAAAAATGGCACGATAATTAATTAAATAATTTTAGCAAGTTTATTGAAACATCAGGGTTTTTTTCTTGCGAGCAGCTGGATTCTGAGCAGCTCTAGGCAGAGCAATTTTCAATCACTAGCTCTTTTTAACGTGGCTTCAGGTACCAGCTACGACAGAGTGACGTAACAGGTAGTTAACTCAAAGAACACAAGCGATCACCGCGATTCGAGTGCCACGACAATACACCTAAACCAAGGGTCAGGGTAACTGAGAACTGCAGCTGAGAACCACTGCAACATTCTGGTAAAATTACATTGTTGCACTACGTACCACGGGGTTTCCCATAGGGGTTAATGTTTTACGATGGGTACAGGTGGTTCTAATTGGTGGTTTTCAAAAGCCCTGTGAAACCACACGCCTTGCAGTTCGATAATGCCATTTAACCAGCACACTCCCGTGCGTCTGGGCTGCATATAATTTGAAGCCATTTGTGATAATTTAAAATATTTGGTTAGGTATGATTTTTTACCTAATTTCCATTCAGTTGTGGCAGCACACCTTTGCTGCTGTCGAGAAATGGTGTCACCTACAAATGGCCTCATATACCGGGTATGTCACTAATGCACGTGGGACAACTTTTCTAGTAAAAAGTCTTCGCACGTGAGTTTGAAGTAACCTTACTTAAAGTTTGTATCAAAAAGGAACGGGCTATGAGTTATGAAAGCTGAAAGATGTGGTAAAATAACAAATTATAGAAACATCTAAGGTGTGGTGAAATAACTGTGTTCGATGAAATTATTTTGGCAAAATGAATGAGTTCCACGTGTTTTCATTAGGCGTCATTAGGGTAATATAAACTACGTCTTTTTTGTGCGCGCAGCCCTAAGAAGGCTTTTCACTTGGCAGTAGCAATTTTATGCATATATGTATCCGTATTAATGTCCAAGAGAGAGCTACGTAAATGAAGGAGCCTCGAGTTTTCCTTCTTTTCATTGTTGCAGGTTTTCGCAGTGGCTGAATCTTCACAGTGCTCGGCGGAAAACTCGAAAGCATTGACGTCACGTCTTCGGCCTCACTTTCATTAGTTGCATCGGGAAGATGCGGCGACTGCACCAACGACAAGCAGCCGGCCTCTACCGAAATGGATGCACTTGACTTCAGAAAAGAAACCACGATGTCGATCATGATAACCGCAGTGGGGCGGCACAAACTCAACCTACATCATTGTTAAAGTGAATCACTCATAAGCTTCCACGGGAGTGGTGTCGAGCAAGGCGTTGGTGTCGCCGTGCTGTTCCAAGAAAAGTTTGTCATCGCTTTCCGTCGCACCCAACTGACAGTCCTTCCCTCGGCTCGACAATGCACAGCTGGCTACTGAAGTGATCGTGTTTTCATTTTTATTTGATAACTGGCGGAACAGGTAGCAACACATTTGTCCCGTGAAGTTCTGATTTCCGTGACTTTCGCTTGAAGATTCTTCCGGTCGTACAGCGGTGGTAAAAGCGGCAAGCCCGTTTTACCACCGGCTTAAGAAGCAATCCTTCTCTTCTGCTTCGGTAACTTCCATCGCTGAATGGGAAACTCGGTAAGTACAAAGTACTTACTATCTTACAAAGTTACTGTGAAACTAAGAAACGCTAAGGGAGAGTGTTGGTTGTGTGAACGTATGAGATGGCGTTTTTGTCCTGTACCTAAACACGCTGCCTTGCCTAACTAGTACAGCATTTAATACGATGGCATGACTTCAACTCGTCATCCCCTTCTGGAACGGACACGATTGCTTCAGAAGGCAAGCCACAGTGATCATGAGTACCCGTCTGTGTATGTTGTATCTTCGACAATCGTAAAAGAAATCAAAGGTGTTGAATAATGAAACTTTTGACCAAACTACTCGAATTGCAACGCAGAAGCGTATTGCCCAACGTTCACTTACCGAAGAAACTTCGGGAATTCGCTCACAGAATATCACGGGCTCTTGCAACCGATTCCACCTTCGATCTAGCCGAGGGCATAGCAGTGAATCTATGAGAAGCCTAAGGGGAAAAAAAGAAAACACTGAAACAATTCTGGAGAAGGAAAGGCGCCCGGATTTGTATCGAATTTGCGCTCATTGAATTTCCCCTCGCGCTGCTGAACCGGAAAGCAGGTGCTCGCTCAGCCGGGATACAGCGAATTGGTTCCTCGCTACTGATCGAATTTCGTGTCGTATTCGGCAGCTGGAAACGAAGACGGTGGCACTTTCTCGTCGGGCTTGTTTATGGGAAAGCGAACCATCTGCAACTATCTCGATCACACCTTGGTCGGTATTTTTCTTAATCTTTTCGTTTTATCTTGTTTTATTGAGATGCACAATGGTTCTCACGAAAACGAAGATCAGGAGTGTTGCAGATATAGCAGCTTGAGGCCAGCACCAGAGCGCCAGAACCCGCTCGCACAATTTTCTCTAATTTGTGTAACACTTGTTTCGTAACGTGGTTCCAGCTTCTGCAACTACGTCAAACTGCTATGCGCAAGATAGGTCGACGTTTCAAACTAGCGTAACCAAAAATAAAATGAATGCCCTTTTTGTATGTCGCGATTTTCGCAGATTCGCACATCTCTAGACCAGACAACAGCTCGTCGTTTAGATCTGTATTTTTTTTTGTTCTCTTCTTTCATTCGTATATTAGAAAGTTTAGTTACGTTCATGCAGCCGCCTTGTTCAGAGTGCGTAATTTGTACGCCTGATTAAACAATTCTCTTGAAGTTATTGTGGCAACTTCGTGCTAGCGGTGCCAAGCCTGAATAAAGAATGCAGCTGCGTGACCTTGCCTGTTCCTTTTCATTTTTTAGGGATGAAGCTTCTAAGGCGTGGGCTGTGCGTCGTCTGTATGTAGCCACCTCTCATTTAGTTCTTGCAGTGTTCATCAGATGGCCATACCATCCCCTGTTTGTAGCCACCTCTCGTTTAGTTCTTGCAGTGTTCATTAGATGACGGTACTTGTAGCTGATCATGAAAAGATGCAAGATGGTATAAAATAGACGGCGGTACTTGTAGTTGATGATGAAAGATGTAAGATGTTATAAAATAGGAATGATGTCACATGTGTCGCGGGTCATTGGTCGAAGGCAATCGTTTGATTTAGTGCGGCGACGTACGCTAGGGGGAGAGTTGTAATAAAATCGAGTGGGCGAAACGTACGGAGGATTCATGGTTAACCAGGTTTACCTCCGGAGCTTCGTTCACTATCATCATTCACTTCGTGGATATGGCGGCACTTTTTTCTTTCTTTCTATCTTTCCTTCTTTTTTTCTTTATCTCTCTCTCTGTCTGTTTTTCAACGTTTCTGAATCTATTTATTTCCATTTCTTCTTGTCTTTTTATTCCTTCCGCCTCATCGCTTTTTCATTTTCATCTATTTTTCATTTGTTTTGTTCTTCTTTTCTGCTTTTTCTGTTTTTTCGCGTTCATGGTCATGTCTCGCTGTCTCATTGTAGGTGTAGTGTTCTCTGGTTATTCCCCCCCCCCTTTTTTTATCCTGCGTGTTTCTGTCTTTCTACTTTTTTGTCTTTATTCTTTCTAATCATCTCTTTTCCGTTTCCTTCTATGACTTTGATATGTTTCTCTCTCTCTTCCTCTCTTTTTTTTCTCTCTTTTGATTTCTCTGTCTTTACTCTTTCTTTGACTTTTTTTTCTGCTCGTTGCTTTAAATTGTTTCACGGGCTCTACTTCGCTTAACCAACTTTATTTCAAAGCTCGCACCGGTTATTCTTGTTAGCCGGGCTTGCCTGATTTCAACAGCTCATACTCACCCGTGATGTCCTGGACGACGGAGTGCAAGTTGACGATATCTTATACAGCTTCGCCGTTAAATACAGTAAATTTATTACTGTGAATTTTGAGAACCTAAAGTAATATAATAATAACATAATTGTTGGGGTTTAACGTGGCAAAACGTCCATAGAGATGCCATAGTGAAGGGTTTCATAAATTTCGACTACCTGAGGTTCTTTGACGTGCACCGAAATTGGAGCACATGGGCCTGATGCAAAAGGTCGTTTTAGTTTAGCGCGTGCAATGCCTATATAAGGAACACGAAGCGCGGCGCGTCGGGTACGTAACGGCTGAGGCTGTCGAGCACAGCGTTAGTTTACCTACGCAAGAACCGAAGCTTGGAGTGCGCTTAGGTGTAAACAGCCTTGAGTTTGAGTACTGCTGTGCGCCATCTATAGATGAAGGAATGAACTGCAGTAGCCGATGAACGCAGCCGTTTTTTGTAGCAGCCATTAGAGAGCCTAGTGTATTCTTGACGCTATGTAGTCATGCCGTGGATGCTCACAGCCGACGAGATCTCGCGAGACAGCCACCGGTGGAGTAGAAATGGCCATAGCGGCCGCAACGTAAGCGCGGAGATCTAGCGCACGCATTTCAAGTTTCAATTGTAAAGCACTGCACGTCCTAATGTCTCTGGTGACAACACATAAGGAGAACCTTCTGTTTTTGCTCATTTCGTGCCGTGCATCTACGTTTTCTGGTGCGCGAACAATGCGCAAAAGTTTTAATAACTTTTTGAACATACTTTTTTTCCCTCGGTGCGCAAGAAGAGTATTTGTGTGGCTGCCATTAGTGGTACAAGTGGAACCTGAAAAAGAATCGGCTTAGTTAGACAGAACATGAGAAAATCAGACTCAAGTAATACACTTTTCTTTTTGAAATAATATTTTCAGAAACAAAAAACGAAGAAACGGCAAGCTTGTCCTGCTTTCAACAAAAAAACGACAAAAATGCGGTCCAAGAATTTGATTTTTTTTTTCACATAAGAGACCCACTGAAATGCAGTAATTCTGGTAGCGTTCGCACATGAAGTTTATCACTTTCCCAGAACAGTTTCTTAACACTTCTGACATGAGGTTTTCATTGACCAAGTGTTATGACCAAAAACCTCACGCATATATGCCAATGGTTTTTTAGATGTCAACGATTGAAATAGTTCCTCGGCCTGGCTTCAAGAGGGTACGATTTCCGATCGCAGAATTTCTTGATTGGTCTGACTGTTGCAACACTTTGTAATGGTTGAAACAGGCAAGTTTCTCTGTATTGCTGCAGTAGATAATATTTATCCTCCGGAAACATACAAAGGCGATTTCAGGTCAACTTAGTTCAAAATGATTTATTTTGCTTCTGACCGTATGAAAATTGTGAAAAAAGTTGTTTAGTATGCGTAGTATGTGAACTGTCAAACGTTAGTTATTCATAATTATGAAACTCCATTATTTAAAATTTATGTATTTGATTTAGACACCTTTTGAGTGTGATTTACTGCGCTGGTTACGCACAAAATTTATTACAGCTTCACTGGATATCTTTCAGTAGTTCTGTCACACTTACTTCAGAAAAATAAACCACAGCAAAATCTTCGAAGACGAAAACATCGACATTTTCTCCGAAACGCCAATTTTATGCCGTACTGGAATCAAAGATGGGCCAGATGAGCGCCATCTTCTGGAGCAAAGTAACGCTCACCACGCAAGAAAAAGCAAGTTGAAGAAAAAAAAACATTTGCGCCAGAAGTAGCTGCGCTTGCTGGAAGCAGTGGTTCCACGTGTGGTCACTAAGACTGAACAGGTTACAACTCTGCTGTGTCGCAACATAGAATGATGAAGTCACGGCGAGGTTTGTCGTTGTTTATTGACAAAGATCGATCGCATGGTAAAACAATGCGAACTCCGCGAGAGTTCGCCTGCGCATAAAGAATCGTGGCGCCACTTATCGTCGTCTTGTTTCGCGAGCCTACGACCTTCGTTACACTGATACATTATATACTCTACAGTTTTTTATCGCCATCAAGGACTTGATCGGCTTAGGTAATGATGGCATGTGGGGTTTTAGATTATATTGGAGCGGTGAATTACGCAAGTCGCCAGGGACGAGGAAAGTGCGAAGGAGAAAAGGGAGAGTGGGGATGCTGACTCTGAAGTTAGAACGTAATTAACGTTTCACATATAGAGTGCAAAAAAAAACACGTTAATGAGTGTGTAAGTTGACAGGGAAGTAATTAATTTCTACTCTACGCAAAAGAAAATGGTCATTTAACCACCTCTTAGCAATCCTAAGCACCTGTGTAGGTTCTATATTGTTGTAATTGATAGTACGTTTTCAACTGGTAGTCTGTGCTCACTTCGTGTTTTTTGCCTTCGTCCCTGGGGCTCTTACGCACTTGATTGTCATAGTAGATTACTAGCTAGCGCAGCGCTCTGTTCTTCCAGATTACGCTTCAACACGCGCACACACAGCCATTTATTTCTTGCAATTAATTGCTTGGTAGCACTTGCGTACGTTTAGTGTAGTTAACACACATTTCGTCGTATTATGAATTCAAAGAATGAGTAGACGCTTATATTAGAGACAGCGTTTTGAGCATGCAAGCTCAGGCTCACGCTATGTGGGTGGGTCCCTTATATCAGGAACTATTTGGTCACACTCGCCTCCCGGGCTCTGGTGACGAGTTGAGGTTGATCGCCGTCGTCCCGGGTGAGATCGAGGCCTCCCACATCATGGCGAGGAGGCTGACGTTCGCAGGAGCTAAAGACTTGCCTCCGGCGTCT